GGAGGGCAACAAAAATGATTAGGGGTCTGGAGCACATGACTTATGAGGAGAGGCTGAGGGAACGGGGATTGTTTAGTCGCCAGAAGAGAAGAATGAGGGGGGATTTGATAGCTGCTTTCAACTACCTGAAGGGGAGTTCCAAAGAGGATGGATCTAGACTGTTCTCAGTGGTAGCAGATAACAGAACAAGGAGCAATGGTCTCAAGTTGCAGTGGGAGAGGTGTAGGTTGGATATTAGGCAACACTATTTTACTAGGAGGGTGGTGAAGCACTGGAATTCGTTACCTAGGGAGGTGGTGGAATCTCCTTCCTTAGAAGTTTTTAAGGCCCGGCTTGACAAAGCCCTGGCTGGGATGATTTAGTTGGGAATTGGTCCTGCTTTGAGCAGGGGGTTGGACTAGATGACCTCCTGAGGTCCCTTCCAACCTTGATATTCTATGATTCTATGAATGGTCCACCTGGCCCAGTATCTTGTCTTCCGACAGTGGCCAGTGCCAGGTGCTTCAGAGGGAACGAACAGAACAGGCAATCAAGTGATCCATCCCATGTTGTTCAATCCCAGCTTCCGGCAACCAAAGGCTAGGGCCACCCAGAGCATGGAGTTGCATCCCTGACCATCTCTGTTAATAGCCATTGATGGACCTATCCTCCAGGAGCTTATCTAATTCTTTTTTTGAACCCAGTTATACTTTTGGCCTGCACGACATCATCTGGTAACAAGTTCCACTGGTTGACTGTGCATTGTGTGAAGAAGTACTTCCTTTTGCTTGTTTTAAACTTGCTGCCTATTAATTTCATTGAGTGACTCCTGGTTCTTGTGTTATGTGGAGTAAACAACACCTCCTTATTTGCTTTCTCCACACCATTTATCTATCATATTCCCCCATGAGTCATCTCTTTTTCCAAGCTGAAAAGTCCCTGTCTTTTTAATCTCTCATATGGAACCTGTTCCATACCTTTTCTCAATTTTGTTGCCCTTCTCTGTATCTCTTCCAATTCTAATATTTTTTTCAGATGGGGTGACCAGAACTGCATGCAGTATTCAAGGTGTGGGCCTATCATGGATTTAAATAGTGGCATTAAGACATTTTATATCTTATTATCTATCCCAGAGATCGGCAACCTTTGGCACATGGCCTGTCAGGGAAATCCTCTGGCAGGCCGGGATGGCTTGTCTACCTACAGCATTCACAGGTTCGGCCGACCGCAGCTCCCACTGGCCATGGTTTGCCATTCCAGGCCAATGGGGGCTGCAGGAAGGGGCAGCCAGCAAATCCCTTGGCCCGCGTTGCTTCCCGCAGCCCCCATTGGCCTGAAACGGTGAACCGCGGACAGTGGGAGCTGCGATTGGCCGAACCTGTGGACGCTGTAGGTAAAGAAACCATCCTGGCCCGCCAGCGGATTTCCCTGACAGGCCATGTGCCAAAAGTTGCCGATCCCTGATCTAGCCCTTTCCTAATGGTTCCTAACATTCTGTTAACCTTTTCAGATGCTGCTGCACAGTGAGTGGATATTTTCAGAGAACTGTCCACAATGACTCCAAGATCTTTCTTGAGTGGTAATTTAGACTCCATTTTGTATGTATAGTTGGGATTGTTTTCCAACGTGCATTACTTTGCATTTATCAAAAGTGCAAACAACAAGATCAGGACAACCAAATCTCTGCTACCTCCCTGACTCAGAGCCAGCTCTAGGACTGGATTTAGGGGCCGGTGACCCAGGCAACCACCTTGGTTACTGGGCTGGGGGGGATGTTGGGTTCAGGGTGCGGTTTTTGATGTTGGCAACAAAAGGGGGAAATGACAGGGATAGGGTTACCATATTTCAGCAAGCAAAAAAGAGGACGGGAGGAGCCCCGCCCCCGTCCTGCCCTGGCCCCGCCCCATCCTGCCCTAGCCCCACCCCTGCCCCTCTCACTTCCTCCCCTCAGAACCCCCAACCCTCCCCTCGCTCCTTGTCCCCTGACTGCCCCCTCCTGAGACCCTCCCCCACAAATGCCCCCCAGGACCGTACCCCCTACCTGTACCCTGACTGCCCCAACCCTTATCCACACCCCCACCCCCAGACAGACCCCTGG